CCCTCCCCATCTCTCTCTTTCTCTCTCTCTCTCTTTAAGGTGTTTTATCCATGTGTGACTGATATCTTTGAGAAGAAGAACCCAATGAAACTAACCTACTGCCTACATGCATTATGGTAACTACACAACCACATTCATATATGTGTATAATGTTTATATACTGATACTTATACCATCAAAATAAACACCGCATCTACATGCATACACAAACCTCCCTTGTATATGTAACGTGTGCTATGTGTATCGTAGTCATCTATTGAAACAACAAGGAAAGGTTGATATGGCTTTGAGTTCTGCAGCTGTCGCTAATGGTAGCCCTAGATTCACTGAGAATGAGCTTAAATCTGCTAACCAAACACTGAGGAATGGGGAGGGTGTTCCTTCATTTGAAGTCATTGATAGATTAGTCCAAGAAGAAGTAAGTACTAGGCATAATGGATTGATTGTTTGTATAGTTTGTGTTTCTTTTTATGGCGAGTCATGTGTTACCCTGCTATGATAAACTGTCTCTCTATGTGTAGTGAGATTGTTTGTATAATCACTCTATCTGTCCTTCTCTTTTGATGACCCTTGATTCATTACTCTCTCTCTCTCTCTCTTTCTCTCCCTCACTCTCTCTCTCTCTCACTCTCTCTCCCCCTCTCTCTCCCCCTCTCTCTCCCCCTCTCTCTCTACATTAAGTTACAATACACTAATATTGAGATATTCAATGAACAAGTTGTTGAAGAAGAGCCACTCCAGCAGTCGTCTCCAACACTCCCAACCCCCAAGACCCCAGCCACTGATGATGATGAAAGTGATGATGATCTTTTTGATGATCCAAAATATATTCAAAGTACTAGCCAGTTTCTCTCTTTTCACTCTTTATCTATTTTTCCAGTGGCTGGTGGTACAATGGTTGCTCAACCGAGCAGTCCTGTTTTTGAAATGGGACCATTGCTTCAGAATCTAAAGTGTCACGGAGTTGGAATAGTAGCCACACTTTATCCTTGTACATCAGACAGGACCAGCAATGGATCCGATGAATGTAAAAGAGAGAGAGAGAGAGAGAGAGAGAGAGAGAGAGAGAGAGTAGAAAGTGGGGGAAAGGAGGAGGAAGCGATTGTTATCAGTTTGACAGTTTTTAAATTAATTCTATTATTCATTTTTCAGTTAATAAGGCTTTGTATAACATCAACTGTTGTGTTGAGGCTGGCTCTCCTCTTGAGACCCTCCGCTCTTTACAGAAACCAGCTGGGAACCTTCCGTTCCCTTACCTTGAAGCTGAAGACTATCAGTTAGCATTGGAACAAGAGAAAAAAGAAGGATTTCCACAGAAAACAATTGTAATCATGCACATAAATAAAGTTTATTAATATCAAATCAGGGTTTTCCACAAAACATGCTAAGTGAGCCAAGCAGCATGTTTCAGGAGCTGATATCCACTACAATACAGTACATGGCATTTGGAGCAACTTTGAAAATTTATAAAAAATTCAAATTTGATCGGAATCAGCTCAAACTTGCTACACAACATAAAAACATGTATATGTATCAGAAAAGATTATTAAAACTGAGAATTCTCTCCTAGTCATTTTTTGTAAAATTTGGCTATTGACCCTGTACTATAGTACAGGGACTTTGGCCCAATTTTGGAGCAACTTCAAAAATTCATAAAAATTCAAATTTGATTGGAATCAGCTCAAACTTGCTACACAACATAAAAACATGTATATGTATCAGAAAAGATTATTAAAACTGAGAATTCTCTCCTAGTCATTTTTTGTAAAATTTGGCTATTGACCCTGTACTATAGTACAAGGACTTTGGCCCAATTTTGAAGCAACTTCAAAAATTTATAAAAAATTTAATTTTGATCGGAATCAGTTCAAACTTGCTACACAACATAAGAACATGTATATGTATCAGAAAAGATTATTAAAATTGAGAATTCTTTTTTTGTAAAATTTGGCTATTGACCCTGTACTATAGTACAAGGACTTTGGCCCAATTTTGGAGCAAATCTAAAAATTCATAAAAAATTCAATTTTGATCGGAATCAGCTCAAACTTTCTACATAACATAAGCACATGTATATGCATCAGATAAAATTATAAAAATGAAGAATTCTCTTGTTTTCATTTTTGGAAAAATTTGGCCAGTGACCCTGTACTATAGTACAGGGACTTTGGTTCAATTTTTGAGCAACATGACACTGAGAAGAAGCTGCATAAACGCTATGCCAAAATCCTGTGGGAAACCCTGTATTAAATTTATTATTGTTTTAAGGTGGTGTATTCCGGGCTACACAGACAGCTCTGTGACTCACTGCTTGACAAAATGAGGTAAATTTTTTAATTTATTGTTTATTTAAATATTTATTTGTTTGTTGAATTTAGGCCAGGTGCTTATCTGCTAAGAGAAAGCACTACACTCTCAGACAGAGATTTTGTATTTTCATTTCGGTACATATCATAATATTAATCATACAATGTTTACAATCCTTTTAATATCATTATTCATTTTAGTAACGAGATTGGGATAAAGCACTGGAAACTGAATGTCAGTGAAGACGGAAAATTCACTTGGGGAAAAGGAAATAAAACATTCAGCAGTCTTGAATCATTCATACAGGTACATCCACAGGACTACATGTAAATGCATGTAAATTGTACTACATGTGTTGCATTTTATAGTATTTTGTATCGGCCTTGGCTAAAGTTACCAAGTTATACATATATCCTGGGACAACTTTCATGTTGCAGCTATCACAGTCTTCACTAACCACCGAGCAACATAAAGTAATTTTATTATTATTATTATTATTATTTTACTCTATTATTTTTTTGCATGTGTATAGTCAATACAGTCACTTAAAACTCCGCCAAATTTACTGACATACGGTCAACTAGTCTACGTCATTAATGATGTTAATTCAAGGATTAGGAGACAAAGAGCCACCACTACTAGAGAAGTACACAAATATAATATTGGTGCTCTTATGATGCATTTAATTTTTGTTCGTTATTTTATAGAGAGATAATACTGGTGGAAGTTCTAAAGCCAGCCCTGCTGTGGCTAGGAGGGAAACAAAGCAGAAATTAGAGCAAGGTCCAGTACCAGCTAACCCACTGAACAAAGTTAATCTTGAGTTGATTGACGATGACCCATGGAACAATTCAGTTAGTTAAAATGATTAGCTTATTACAGAAAAGAGTATCTATTTTTGTCAAAAATGGCTAGGAGAGGATTTTTCATTATGTATATTTTTTTCTGATGCATATACATGTAGAAAGATTTTGATTAATATTTTTTAATGAATTATTTTGTATCACTCTTCTGTAGCTTTTATTTTCTGTTAGCAGATCAAAAGCGGAAGATTTGCTAGACACTGAGGGATAGTGAGTAATATTATAAAATAAAAAAAATTAAAACAATCCTTGTTCTTCATTTCTCTACAGCCCGGGCTCTTTTCTAGTTCGCCCTAGTGAAAAAGTTCCTGGAGATTATGCCCTCGCTTTTCGTACAAGAAACGAGATACGGCACTGGAAGATTGTCAAGTCCAATCATAAGTATTATGTACATCCAAGACCTAATTCATATTCCTCTGTTGCCGACATAGTTCAAGTAAGAGATGATTCATAAATTTCATTGGTAGAGCTACACTGTACATGTACTACAGTAGAAATTTTGAGTCAAATGCTGTGTGGAGAATTTAACAAAATAATAAATAAACACCCTTTATTTTATTTTATTTTATTTTCTAGCATTTCAGAGATGCTGTTGGAGCAGAAACTGGCCTAGTAATGTCACCTTTAAGACCTCGAAAAAATGAAGTAATTTAAATATAATAAATAAATAAATGATTATTATAATTGTAGCCTCCTCCAGTGGAGAAAAAGAATTCGGTTGATAATTCCGCTATACATGTACATGCATTAGACGATCGCTCGGTCACACCTCCTCCTCTTCCTCCCCTACCTCATAAACCTGATTATAGACAATCAGAAAGTAATTAATATAATAGTTATTAATAAATTAATAATAATAATAATAATAATAATTCTTTTTATTACTCCCTCACTCTCTTTCTTCTAGCAATGAATGTACTACCCACCCCCTCCCTCTCTCGTTTGAACCCTGCTAATATCACCAGCTGGTCCACTGATGATGTAGCAACCTGGCTTTGTCAACAAGGGCTGGGCCAATTCTCCCCCATCTTTATAGAGAACTGTGTCGACGGGGAATGTCTGCTGACTCTTGATAATAATTTACTAAAAGATGACCTTGGGATAACTCAATTAGGATATAGATCTAAGATAATGAAGAGAGTCCAAGCATTAAAGGCGATGTTACATCCTGAACTATAACATAGATACAGCCACATAATTTTAAATTGATATTTGTGATACACACACACACACACACTGGTATGTTTACTGTTTTATTATGATAGTTTTTTTATTTGTGGAGTTTCTAAAATGATGATTATTATGATTCTCACTTAGTGCAAATTCAGTATAAACTTCCTTGCAGTCCGAAATAGATTTCAAATTGCTTTAAAAAAGTATATAGTACAGGGTTTCTGACCATCAAACTTTTCCAGTATTCCATTTATTATTAATAACAACAATAGTATTTTTGTTATTATTTTAAAGATGAAAGAGAAGAGGGGTTTATATTTAAATAATAGAAATGGAAAAAATGAAAATGATACAAATTAATAATAATAATATTGAGACACAAAAGACAAAATAGAAATAATAATAATAATAATAATAATGAAGTCTAATAATAATAATAAGTACAAAAATTGAGAAAGAAAGTAAACAATCATTTTGTATAGAAAGTCGGAAATTGGTCATTAATATTATTATACACATAATAATAATAATTATTATTATAATTAATAATCAGCAAGGATTATTAATGAACGAGCTAGCTCTCCAATATTGACAACAGTTCATTTGAATGGGACTGATCACCAGAAGTTGATAAATTATCAAAAAAATGTGGATCACCAATATTATCCAGTATCTCCTTGAGATTCTAAGAAAAAGGGAGAGAGAGAGAGAGAGAATAAAATTATAGCTAAAATGGAGCACAATAACAGTATTAGCTCACTTCTAAATTATCATCGATATTAGACATCTGTTGCTGCTGCTGTGGATGAGTTGGAGGGCCGCCTTGCTGACTATTATTATTATTATTCATTAAGTTATTACTGCTCCCATTGAGGCCTGGAGGCAGAGGCAATGGAGGAGGAGGAAGAGGAGGGGCATTGTTGCTAATTAAGTGTGGGGGCGGTGGTAGATTAGGAGGTAACTCTTGTTTGGGAGGAGGGGGAGGGTTTGAGTGTGGCTTTTTAATGGAGGCTGGTGTTTTCGGAGTACCAGGAGTTTCATTCTTCATTCTTTTGGAAACAGGACCATCTAGATTTGTATAAATGGGGCCATTAAATTTAGAGCTGATTTCGTGCAAAAAGTAATTTTGGCATGCTTAAACTTTCTACATAGCATAAGGGCATCAAAATGTATCAGAAAATGTAATAAAAATTTGGGGTGATTTTGGAGCCATTTTTTGGAAAAAAAATCATAGGCTATAGCCTTGGGTACTTTTCAGAAATTGGCTCATTTTTAAAATGGCCGTAACTCAAAAAATTGAAGTCAGAATGAGCTCAAACTTGCTATGCAGCATAAGGACATCAATATGTATCAGAAACTTTAATTAAAATTGGCGATGGTTTCGGAGCCATTTTTTGGGAAAAACCATGGACTACATGTACATATACATACCTTCTTCATCAGTCTCTCTGGAATGTGCTTTCCAATTGGCACTAGGATCGATCGTTATCTCCTCCACCTCCATTTTGTTGCTACACGTCATAAATAAACATTGTTAAATAAACAGTGTTAAATGTGAGGGTGTGATCTTACTTATTGACTCCAGAGAGTATTCCCCATATATACTGATCCACCTCAAGTCCTTCTAGCTGTGCGCTGTTGTTGCAAACCGGACACCTCCACGTACCTCTGTCACAGTTGAGTTGTAAATAAGACTGCAAGTCAAAACACTAAACAACAACAACATTAATAGTAACAACAAGATTATTATTATTATTATTATTATTATTATTATTATTATTATTATTATTATCATTATTATTATTATTATTATTATTATTATTATGAAGGAAAAACAAAGCATAACTAATAACAGAGAAAAACAAAAAAGGGAAAGGAGAGGGAAGGCCCTATGGGAAAACTAAACAAAGCAAAAAACAAAACAAAGAAACTATACGTGTATTAAGAAACTAATAATAATAATAATAATAATAATAATAATAATAATAATTATTATTATTATTATTATTATTATGAGTAGAACATTTGTAAATGTAGCAAGAAAATAAAAAATTAAAAATACATACATGCATGTACACGCATAAATAATATTAATAATGTTAGTAGTAGACTAATTATTAGTAACAATAATGTTTATTACCTGTATATGTTTACAATCAGCTCCTCTGGCTGGTAGCTGTATCCTCTTAAAAGTAATGGGACACTTCAAAGAGACTAGGATACCAGTTTGCTGTATGCTATCATCGTTATTGCTCTGAAACCACCTCTTGACTAAGAGAGAGAAAAACAGAGAAAGAATGAGGAAAAGGAAACCCTAATTTGATTTCAAAACACTACATATGAATACATTAAACACTGGTGTATATACAACATACACGTATACATTGTGTGTATCTTACTCTTAGCCACACAGTGTTCTGCTGGTAAAAGACGCTTTCTTAGTAAACCTTGCAAGACAGAACCAACTGAGGGCCTATGTACCAACTGTAACACAAACAAATGAGACTGGAGGGAATGGGAGAGTAGAGAGAGAGGAGTAAAGCAGGTGTATGTGCTATTAAACAACTTACACAACAGCAGGCAGTAACTGTGATCTCAAGGTAGTTGTGGGTTGGTTGACAAACTTGCTTGAGGTGCAAAGGTTTATGCAAATGCTTAGAGTCGCCCTTAAATAATAACAACAACAATAATGATAACAATAATGATATAATAA